GCCCCTACCTCACTTAACTTGTCCGTGTGGATCAGCTGAGCTCCCGTTAAGAGTGGAAGCGCCTTATGATGCACGGGTTCAGCTTCAGACAGATCAGTCGCCATTTAAATTAATTTCTAGCCCCAAGTGCAGGTAACACTGTGGAGCCCCAGGTTTTAACCCCAAGGACTTTTTCCTAATGGTTTTCACAGTGCAGTGAGGAGTCAACCTAAAGTACAGAAAAGATGTGGTGTGAAAATTAACAAAACAAAAACATCTACGTCCACGTATCTAGCAAACTAAAGGTTAAAAAGAAAAGAAGAATAAATGACTTACAGCTTATGACTAACATAACTGACAATCAACACTTGCATTCAACAAAGATGCTAAAACATGTATGCAAACTTGAGTGCTATGCATGTAGCACAAATGGTAAAGGTATAAGCCAGCCCTGCAGCCTGCTCCATTAAAACACATCTGAAAGAATAAAGAGGCTCTTTAACAGAAAGCGTTAATGAAAAGCAGACATTGCACTGTGCCCAATGTAAGGCGTTGAGGTAACTAGTAAGTCATTCACTTTGGGTAAAAGCAGGAGCTGACGCATTGATCCAGCTTCTATCAGCCTAAGGCATTAAACCATTGAATCTCTTAGAAAATACATACGCTGGGGACCCAAACTATGCCCCTCCCAAAGTAAACCCCATGCAATTTATAGAAATGAATGAGTCCTTGAACAAGAAAATAAACATCAAAACAGCAGTCTCCATACCTTCTACAAAAAACCTAAAGCTTTAGAAAACTCTCCTCCAAACACATGCACCGTCATGGGTACCGAATGGGTTAAGCTTACTTTAACCCTCATCAAGTCTCACCCCTCACTACCGTTACACTTCTACAGCCTTTCTTACCTGTTGCCCATCCGCCTGCATCAGCCTCTCCTAAGGGGAGGTGCTCCACTATTTCCATCGCAAAACAGAGGGTTTACTTGCTCATTCACCTCCTCTTCTCAGCACCCCCTTTAAAAACCTCAAAAGCAAAGCCTCACCTCTAGCAAACCAAGGCTGGACCCATTCTCCCCCATGCCATCCAAAGGTCAAGCTCCAGACTGCCCTCCTCCCTTCCTTACAGAGAAAGAGCCAAATGCTCCCGATTTCTACCTATTCTGGATGTTTTCTTTTGCTCAGATGAGAAGGCAGGCACTTACCATAAATTTTCACCTTTAATAGGTATTTCCCCAGCCTGAGTGTCTTCCTCTTGCACGGAGACCTAACATCACTCCTGGCACTGTTTTCAAGATGACTTTCACCATAGTTTCAGCACTTTGCACTGCATTCTCCATTGCAGGGGTGGATGCTCCGTACCACATCAATACCACCTCAATTACTCCACATTCTTGCCCAAAAATACAGTCCTCTTATTACTCGGCAGTGGGGACTCCTAACTGATCAGAGGGATTTTCTCTACCTCAGTTATTTTCCCAGGCAAACCAAAACCCAGCTCGTCTGCACGGAGCACTTTTGTTAAACCTCCAAGCTGTGTAAGTAGTTTCCATTCAGAAACCAGCGGCAGTGAAAGAAGAGCCGAGGGGAACGTGCGTTAAGATATGACGGTTCACAAGGCTGGTGCTGCAAGAGGCTACATCATCATACCTACGAGATCTCCTCCCCAAATAATAAACCGGTAAATTAATAGACTAATTCCACTGCTGCTGCGGGTGGGTGCAGCGTCACGTCAGGTGCACACACCTACGGCACAACTGACAGAGAGATTTTCATTCCAGGAGAACTACAGACATCACTAGGCAGCATTTCCACAGGAGACGCTCTAAAAGACATTCATCTAGCTGGCCATCTTCAAAACGCAGCGCTTCTGACAGCTAAAGGCAGTCTATCCAATTCTGCAACATCTACGACTTCTCCTTTGACACCGAACAGTCATTCTGAAAAATGATGGTGAAATAGTCCTGTCTCAGCACCAGTAAAAACAAATGAGTGTAACAGTGCCAGATGTTTTCTTCTGAGACAAAACAGAAAAATCAAAACACACTACATGCCAAAAACAAAATAAATGAGATGAACGAAGCTTTCTTACGAAATTTCAGGATGGGAAAAAAGTACTAACAGCCAACTAGAACATACGAACTACAGCCCAGCACATTTTTTTTTTTTTTTGGCCTATTTTAAGGGACCTTCCTCCCTGAAGTGCAGAAAGTGAGAGGATAAATGAAAATTTTCACCGGGCTTCAGCTCAGTATCAAATGTTTTTTCTAGCAATCATAGCCTGAAGCCCTTTAAGAAAATGCCAGCATTTTGAAGTGAGTTCTAAAATAACCAATTACAGATCCATCCTCAGGGAAACTGGTTGCGGGCTACAAAAGATGCTTTCCCTGGGATTAGTAACACACACATATATGCATGTGTGTGGCTGCCCTGGTCCTGGGTTTTATTTTTTTTCAAACTGCGTGACCTGCACATCACACGCATGAAAACACAGTACTCCCAATTTTGACTTAAAATTCCCCAAGTTCTGAAAAAAACCTTTTGTTTAGATCACATTATAAACTACTCAAGTCTTTTTGCTCTCAAGAGCGAAACTTAACACAGCCCAATTCATAACTTCAGTGCCTACAATACATGCAAATAATGTCATCCAGCCGAAATTCAGAGTGACCCAAACAGGAGCTTGTTGATTCCCTCTGCATTTCCATGCATGGATCATCTTCTGCTCAAAAGGCCAAGGGAATCAAAGGGGCAGAAGAATAATCTCCTATTGACTTCAAAGCACCGATATTCTCAAGGGGAAAAGTCACAAGCACCACCTTGTGAAAGCATCACAGCTCAAGGACTGCTCTTGCTTAGCACCTATTTCTTTGCACAGAGGGATCAGAAGTAGTTTTCGGGACTGGGTGTGAAATGTCAACTACAAACAGGCCCGAATTTACTTTCTCAAAAAGATAAAGCAAAAGACTAGAAGGTTTTGCAACAGCAATGCAGGAAAACTCTCATTCCCCCCTCCAAATAAAACAGTAGATTTATCTAACAGAAAAATCAAGTCACCCAAACCAACTGTCACCCGGACACCCTATTTCATGTATGGGAAACTAAGACATCTTTAAACTTGTACCATAAAAAACAGTTGGAAAATAATAACTGTATTTTGCATTTACACAAATGTCAAAGAAACAGACTGTGATTAGAAAGTGGGAAAAGGCCATCAATTGAGGATGCAGGTTTTCAAGGTGGTTGTGGGGTAACTCTCACGTACACTTAAATCTGATTGACTGTCAGAAAAAAAATAATCACATCAGCAATGAAACAAACATCAGGATACCAACCTTTTCAAAAAGTTGCTTGCAAGTACAGGTAACAACTCCTCACATAGCTACTCACACTCATTTTCCCATGGGTCATTTGATCTGCAGGTTCACAGGTTCCCCAGCTATCATGAACTAGTCATTTCAAAGCTGGTAATCCAGCAAGGAGCTGATAAGCGACAAAACCCCCCAACTTTCTGGATTTTC